ATGTATATATAGAGAGAGAGAGAGAGAGAGAGAGAGCGAGAGCGAGAGCGAGAGAATATTGTAAATATATGCATTTCTTTTTAATTTTGGGGTGAAATATGACCTAGATATGTTCCTGACAGGTTTTGTGAGATTTACCCATTCACATTAATCATAACTCATGGATTACATGGTCTATACAGTCCTGAAGTGTACTGGCTAGGTAGGTACAGGTCTATGCATGAAAATACATATGGATTAAGGCTGGAGGCATTTCAGTCAACCTCACATTTAGAGCGCTGAAAACCCTGTAACCACGCTTCCATTGTGTCATACACAAGAATCGCTTAGCTTTTGTCATGTTTGGGGAGAAACAAATGATGCATCAGGGTCTCGTCGACAATGTAGCAATCCTTTGGAACACCTAGACTGGCGCCATGGTTTTGATCAAATCAAAAGGTTTCAAATCCGATGCCGATCTATTTTTAAAATCGATGTACTACTTGGGTTTGCTCTTGTTGGGAAAACAAATATTTGTTTCGCTGTCATCTGCTGGGCAATTTCAGGCTGGCTAATGATACTCAGAAACATTCAAAGTTCAAAAACACATTGGATAAAAATAAAAACAACAACATCGGACGTGTCAACTTACTTTTGGAGCTTCTCATATTCCCGCTCAAAGTCCCTTTCAACCTGTGGAGGAGACACGTGGAGAGATATGAGAAGAATGGATAGAAAGATCTCTTTAAAGAAGTGTGTGGGCAAACTGCTCTAGTTTTCTACAAGCGCTCTTGGATGTGTAATCATAAAAACAGAATCTACAGGGCAAGTAAAAAAAAAACGTAAAGCCAGTAGAGGAAAGAAGTGAGCTGGATATCAGTTTGGGACGTTTTTTAGCTATTAGGCGAGATCTCTGAAGAACGCCAACGAGATCAAAAGCAAAAAAAAAAAAGATTAAGAAAACAGAACAAGCAGAATCTTTCATTTGGAAATCAGCAGTTGCAGGAGGTCCTGTAATTATTGCAGTGGCCTTCTGTTGCCACATTAGCTTGCGTCCATGCCACCCTACCGCTGTGAGTAGGGGGTTAATGATGCCATAATTGCAGCAGTAGGGGTTCCTGTCCTGTGGTTCGGTGGGCAAAGTCCATAAATAAACAATATTTGGGAAGGCAGGCAGTCCGTTTAGAGCCGTGTGTCCGGCCTGTGGCCTGCCCACTCATGGGTGACCATGGAAGTGTGGTGTAACAGGAAAGGAGGCGAGTTAGAGGTGATGAGGGGAAAATAAGAAGAAAAAAAAAAGATGTTGATTGACCTCCCTAAAACGAGGAAGAGATCAGGACGCCCACTCACGGACACACAAGTGTACAGTGTCCACAACAGAGAGGCGCTTATGAACTCACAGTTGATCTATTCAAACAATGACTCAATCACAGACCACAGCACTGGAGTCAACTGGACTAGAAAACTAGACCTTTACATTTGCTGGAGAGAATGTGCCTGAGAAAACTCGTCGAGGCGACGCTAGAGTGTTCTGCTGCTAGTGCTGCATTGTAGCTACTGTAGATATTTGCAAATAAAACCAATTCAAAAGATCACATCCCCAAGTCTCTTTGAAATTCTGCTCTCTTGATATAGCAAAAATGTAAACTCTGAATTGATTTCTAACGGTACATTAAAAAGCTTTAAAGACAGACCTACTGTGAGGTCAATGGTATATGCTTTTATTGAAGCCATCAGCCAAATAATTTCAGCTTTAAATAATTGTGTTTAACAGCAGATTTCCAGGTGAAAAAACTACATTACCCAAGATAATCAACATCTTTAAATTAATCTTTTTATATTTCTCTGTCATTTTTAATTTGATTAATGTCATACAGTGCTTCATGGGATTGTAGTACCTTTGTCTTTTTGTCAAATTTATTTTTGCTGTGCAAATATGTTTGTATTCACCTCATAGCTGGCTGATTTGCTTCATGAAAGATTCTGTTTTTATCCCAATGGGAAAATACAGCACTTTTGGTGAAAACTTGCAATAAATAATTACATTTTAAAAGTTTTGGTGTGCCAACTTTTTCCTTTTTGTCATTGGTTTTAGTTGGTTGAGCACTGAGCTTTTTGCCTTTTTGTGCAAATGTTTTGTCTATTTTGTTTTTGATCGGATTATACTTTATTTTTTGTCATTAAAACAATAGATAATTCCATTTTGTTTTCAAATTGTTTTCAAATAAATCTAAAATTATATTAGTAAATACTGTTAATTATATATTAATATTATTTTTATCATAGTTGTGTATGTTATAGAAAATAAACTGTGTTATACAAATATATTGGCTTTATACCATCTCTCCAAGATTTTGGCATCATTAAAAAAAACATATCTGTCAAGCACTTATCACAAGCATTGGTGGAAGAAAATTATTTTTGCAAATGCATTTTGTGGCACAACAATCACATAAGTAAAAGTAAGTAAAAAAGGAACAGAAAAATCCTGTGGATTTCTTACCGTTTTCGAAACAATCTGTTTCCTTGGTTGTCCGATTTTGAAAGGAATCCTAGGAAAGTAAAAAAAAAAGACAGACACATAATTATAAGGTGGATTACATTCAGAACAAAAAAATACATTTCATTACATTAATTTTATAACATTAAATACAATTATAATATTTAATTCTCCTGAGTCCATTTTATTTTCAGATGAAGGCTTCATTTAAAGGTCATGGTATTTCATAGACAGTTTTGAGGTTCACTATGAAAACCCCGGCAGCTAATCAAATCATCTCATATGGACCACATAAATCCATCTCAGAAGCCATCAAAGGCGGATGCGCACAATTAGAAGTGGCTGGAAATTCTTGAAGGTGACCTGTTTGCTGCTGTGTGTGTTGCACACGTGTGTGCAGGGCTCTGAGCGAATGCCCGCTTGCAGTAGCAGACCACAAAGGCGGATGCGCACAATTAGAAGTGGCTGTCGCCGCTGCCACAAGTCTTCCTGTGGTCTGCCGGGGGGAGAACGCTACATGTGCACATCTTACATGCATGCACTTTCCTGTGGTCTGCTACTGCAAGCGCGCATTTGCTCAGAGCCCTGCACACACACAGCACACACGTGTGCAACACACACAGCAGCAAACAGGTCACCTTCAAGAATGAACCCGAATAATGAGTACTCAGTTCTCCATGGATCGTAAGAGAGTTTATATTCAGGTATGACTCCAGTTCGGTAGTAATTCCACTAAATATCACGACCAAACTCTTCTGAATTTCTTTAAAGTTACATTTTGGGTTTATTAAAGAATAGTACTTGTAGTTCAACGGGTAAGTCAGAAAGCACAACCAACTCAAAGTCATTAGAATCATTCGAACCAAAAACTTCAAGACTTGTTGACTTGATTCATTTAAATGATTCAGCTTATAAGAATCATGCATTCACGACTCAATGAATATAGCCTTTATAATTTCGTGGTGTCCAGTCTTTCTCTTTCATCACTTTCAATTCAGCAAGAACAACCTGGCCAAACCAATCTATTTCACCATGATGGCACTGCAGATTTTTACATGTTATCAACATCTGGGGAATAAAGCAGATATTCGAGAATGGTTTCCACAATGAATCTCTCAAAAATCTTTTGCCTCCAATATATATATTTTTTTAATATTGGCTATCATTTTATGCATTTTCATAGAGTAAAGGTGCAATCGCATGTACCATTGTTTAGTAAATGTCCGTGGGCGAAATCCAGTCATTTCAGGAATCCACACAATCGAGAATTTCTCATGCAGTTGAAAGATTTAACCACGCAGATTTTGCAATCGGTTCACATTGGTCACACAGAATCTCTATGTTGACTAACAGCTTGGTTTGAAATTAACTTCTGTGTGAGCCGTGCTTCATTGATACACTATTGACAAAAGACAATGGACAATTTTTCCTCACAAAATTTTGCATGACCACATCTTAAGTTTTGGGCTTTCATAATTCATTTGGACAGTAAGTGTCAGATAAGCCTATAATGAGTTCAGATCTAATAAATCAGCCTTTACAGGAAGTCTGGCAATCAATTTTCACTCTTTAGCAGACCTCAACAGATCGTAACCCTGACACCTAAGCCCTCTGGGTGTGAAGGTATGTTAACTTTGGTCTGATTTTCTTCCAATTCAACAAATAAAAATTTTTTTAAAAAAGACTGATACGCCTACAGGTCGTCCTTCGGTTGGGTCACAACGGTTAGTTTTGTCTCCTGATAAAATCTCACTCACAGAACTGTGAAAGGATCAACTTGTTTAAATTGATACTTTATGCCATTCTATTTTCTAACCTAGTTGTGTTGTTGTTAACTGTCAAGTTTAAAGAGTGGAAGCTGTCAAAATAATGCTGTTTGGAACTGAAGAACTTCATTCTGGTGAATGGATTTCTGAAGTTTCTCTCAAAATCAGGAAACTAGTTCACTTCAAAAGTTCTGACGAAATGGTATCATTTCAAAGCACACCAAAGGCCTCAACTAATGAAACATGCCATGGTGTTCACATGGATGATCAAGGTTTGAGTCCAGCCTGCAACATGACATTTAGGGCTTTACAATCAATGACAGTCTACAAAACCGGGCCTGGTTGTTCTGGAAAGTCACTCGGTAGGTAAAAACTCATCCTGTCCTATATAACTGATGACTGAGTAATGTGGGCAGAGAAAGTATCTCTTTAGTTTGCAGCATGGACGCGGCTTCACAAAGACATGAGGATGAGGTTTCTGTTGAAATGAGAATCACCCCAGACCAGCATTAATGGAGCAAACAGATGTGAAGATTGAACAGCTTCAGCTTCTATCATGACAAACAGCTGCCAACCTGCACGACAGCTCATGCCTGATATGCTGTATGTTCAGTTCACTTTTCTCACTGCACATCTAAACTTTTTCATGAGACATTTACTGCCCGTTTTGCTATTAACATTAACAACAGTGAAATGTTTAAGAATGCACCAAGACAGGCTGACAAATCATCAAAATGACAATGTACATACATTTTTCACTGTAAAAAAAAAAGAAGTTTTTTTTTATTACAAATATTTAATATTAAAAATAAAACTCTTTTTCAGCAAGGATGCATTAAATTGATCAAAAGTGACAGTACAGACATGAATATATTTACAAAAGATTGTTTCAAATAAATGCTGCACTTTATTTTTTAGAGTACAACTGTTTTCAACATTGATAATAATGATAATTGTTTCTTGAGCAGCAAATCAGCATATTAGTGATTTCTGAAGAGCATGCGGCACTGAAGACTTGAGTAATGATGCTGAAAATTCAGCTTTGATCACAGGAATAAATGACATTTTATAATATGTTCAAATAAAAAAAAAACACTTGTCCCTTTTAGACTTGCACTCTATTCATTTGCTGCTTGTTTTCTTAAAGGGTTAGTTCACCCAAAAATGTAAATTAGGCTGTGTTTTACTCACCCCCGAGGCATCCTAGGAGTATATGACTTTCTTCTTTCAGACGAATCCAGTCAGAGTTATATAAAAAATTGTCTTTGATCTTTCAAGCTGTTAAATGCCACTCAGCGGGTGTTGCATTGCTTCAGTCCAAAAGTAGTTAAGTAAAAAGTGCCCATGCATAAAACACACGGCTCCGGGGGGTGAACAAAGGCCTCCTGTAGCGAATCGATGCGTTTTTTTGTAAGAAAAATATCCATATTCAAAAGGTAATAATCACTTGAATCTAGCTTGCGCTCACTGTTGTAATCAGAAGCAGCTACGGGGGGATGACGTATGAGGTCAGCTTTGCGCATGCGCCGCTCAGAAGTGATGAAAGTGGAAACGCAGCGGAGAGATCAAAACAAAACAATGGTCACTAATTACAAGTACAAAATGAGGATTTGTAAAGAAGAATGTCGGAGGATTTCGATATAAGCCAAGAGGAGACTGGTTTTCCTTTACTAAAGTAAGGAAACTTTGCTTCCTTTGATCCTGTAAACAAATGTTGGTTTTCACGAGACTCACCGGCGCATGCGCAACGCTGACCTCATACGTCATGCTCCCAGAACTGCTTCTGTGTACAACAGTGATTATTATGTTTTGAATATGGATATTTTTCTTACCCCCCCCCCTGCTGTGTGAGACACTTTTTTTTATGCATGGGCGCTTTTTATTTAACTTATTTTGGACTGAAGCAATGCAACACCCGCTGACTGCAACAATAGAGCTTGAAAGATCAAAGACAAATTTTAATATAACTCTTCGTCTGAAAAAAGAAAGTCATATACACCTAGGATGCCTCAGGGGTGAGTAAAACGCAGCCTAATTTTCATTTTTGAGTAAACTAATCCTTAAAAAAAAAAAATAATTTTTGTATTCTGTTTTCTTTTCATTTATTATACAATTAACAAAAGCAAAAAAGACCTCTAACACTAGCTTGCTCTATTCTTTTTCTATTCTATCCATTTTCTTTTTATTTATTATATTATTTAAAAAACATTTGCTACGTGTACTGCGTTAAGCTAACTGAGGCTCGTTACAGCACTTGTATATCATTGCTCTTTTGTTGATTTTGATTGCTTCCATTGTCCTCATTTGTAAGTCACTTTGCGTCTGCTAAATGACTAAATGTAAATAGAACATTTTAAATTGTAATATTTTTAAATATTACTGTTTTTAAAGATTTTGCACAATATTGCTTCAATTTACTGCAGAATAATCATGAATATCCCGAGACTAATATATCACCCATCCCTAAACCTTATATTATCTGCAGCCATATCAGACGATTACGATTAAAGACGATAAAAAAAAATTATATTGGTCAATGCTGTTATACTGTGCATTCCTAATGGTGCGTTAAAGAAGAAGACGACAAGAACAGCAGGATTGACACACCATTGAACCCATTTCTTAGGGAATGGCAGGCCTTCCTGTCAAACTTAATGTTAATGTACTAAAGACGTGGCACAATGGCATCACATTCCTATCTCCTGTTCTCACAACTTCCTTTAAGTGAAAAGCAGCAATTAACCGCTCGGTCCCCTTCTTCTCTGTCTCGTGCGTTATTTAGTAATTACACCTGAGACAGGCTGGGATAGACCTGGAGAGAGAGAGAAAAAAAAAACACGTTTCCACTGCTGCCATTGCAGGCACCTCTCTCACGCACACTTTTACACACACTATTATTGATGTGACAGAGGTATGGCTCCAGAAGATTGATGGACAGCTGGGGATGACAGGAACGTGGCGATGCCAGCTGCGTCAAAGCAAAGGTGTGTGAGCTAATGAGACGGAAAGAGAGGAGTGTGAGGGAGTGTGTGTGTGAACTTGGTATGGAAGACAGAAATGAAATTGGCACAGTTGGAGATATATATATATGCGTGTGTATTTCTTCTGATGACAACCTAATCTAAATAATTGATTGAATTCCCTCTACAACAGAAAACACTGACTACGTTTACATTGACATCAGTAATCTAATTATTTATCTTATTCTAAATAAGCCAATATTATGATTATGGTATTTACATGAGTTGCTTTTAGAATAGTCCTTTCATGTTCCCGTTTTACATGT